TGTGTGTGTGTGTGTGTGTATTCCTGTACTTGTCTCTTTGTGAGGACCATTATAAGCATAGAAACTACAGAGTGAGGACGTTTTTGAAATGGGAGGACATTTTGTCAATTTTTCAATTGTTTGATTAAGGGTTTTAATTGACTTGGTTTTGAGGTTATGTTCAGAGTTAGGTGTAGGTCAGGGTTAGGCATTTAGTTTTGATGGTTACGGTTAGTGTTAGGGGCTATTATGTCGATGAGTGTCCTCACTGAGATAGAAGTACAAACGTGTGTGTGTGTGTGTGTGTGTGTGTGTGTGTGTGTGTGTGTGTGTGTGTGTGTGTGTGTGTGTGCATGCACACATGCAGCAGCAGCGACCTGGGATGAGGCTGAATGCAGCAGCCATGCTAATGAGGGCTTGGGGAAGTATTCAGACGGCTGAGAGCAGGGCGCTGTGAAAGCATCACTTGTGCTCATACTCCGCTCAGCTGCTGGCTTCACTCAGCACTCAGGAAACTGTGTAAGGCTGCTCTGACTCTGACACGTGAATACAGAAGTTACATGGGGTACAGATAAGAACACCTTGGATTGTTTTGGTAACACAAACACAAGCCCCAGTGTGCCTCTAACTCGAGGGGTATTCACAATTTGATGATCGCTCCAGAGGCTATACATGCAACTGACTACCTTCACTGTGCTGTAGAAATGTTTTCTGAAGCCACATGCATGAATAGATAACTCACATATTACTGACAAACCTTTTAGATCCCTTCTTATACTTGAGGGGATGAATAATTAACAGTGAGAATAACAATTAGTAAATGGGGCATATAATCGATGTGTTTAGTCAACGTATATTCAGGTTGTGCAAACACCAACACTCCAACAGTTGTGATGAAAGTCAAATCTTGCATTACTATCTTACTTACTCATTTCCATTTCACAGGACTAAATTCAGTCATGTGAAAAGCAATGAGACCATCACTGAGTCATTCAAGCTTCTAATCGTGACTTCAATCAGTACCGGCTATCATTGTAATTTTTCTCGTCTTGTCTGAGTGCTGCTGTAAAATGTCCATCAAGCCTGGTGATACAGCTTTTCTCAACATGCTGTGTGGCCACTTATGGACTGGGGCAGTTAACCATGCACGGTCAGCTACTATTGAGCTATGGCAAAGCAGGAAGAGGAGCACTGGAGACTTCATCACACAACTCTGGACACCTTTTCAAGGCAAACTGAAAAGGTGAGACATCTTTCAAAAGGAGTCAGGAAGAAATGTCAATGATTCTTCTGTAGTGGTTCTTGTCTCTGCACTTCTAGCTTTAAGGTCCTTCCCCAAAAATAAAGGTGAAACATCAAAGTTGTGAGAAAGGGCAGCAGGCCGTTGGTTTAATTTGTTCATTCTCTTTATCTCTTACGCACAGTGGCAAGAGAAAGTATCCAGCACAGTATAGTGTGGATTCCTGACCTGAGCCAGGTAGGGCCATTTTTTGAAAAGGTATTGGGGTCAGTCAAGTTAGCTGGGCTTATTTTTATTTTTTTTGACACTGCACTAGGGATGTCAAGATACCAAAAATGTAGTAGTTGATACTTGATACCATGAAATTTGCATGATTCATGATATCGAATTCAATATCACGGCAAACAACAAAACCGAAAATCCCATTTACTTAAAGACACTGCTTTATAAAAACATATTTGAAGATACAATAAAACAAAAGTTGCTATGTAGCCATCAAGTAATGAATAAAAAGAAAAGACTACACACACCTATATAGTCAAGCACATTAACTGCACAGGGCATTGGTCGGTTTCGGACAAAACAAACTCAACGTTTTTCAGGTTCCAGTCAGGCTCTGTTATTTTCTCTTGGGCTCGCAAGGGTTGGGAATTTTTCATGCTGTTCATGACTTAAAGTTTATTCCATATTCGTAGGGTTTCAGTTCATAAGTGTGTTTTTTTTTTTTGCAATCCATAAGATTAAGCTGTTGCTCTAGAGACGGTGCAGAGTACAGCGCAAAAAGGTAAAATCCCCGAAATAAGAAAAAGAGATGAGGGAACAAGAATGACAGAGCAGGATCCTGAACAGAAGGATTGCGTTGTGCGATGTGTTGGGTAATGTCAATGATATAAATGATGATCAGGAAGGTCAGGTCCCATCATTGGAAATGCCATGCAGTTCCACTGAATCCCATTATACAGACCAGAGACAGCGCAGAGCCACTGTGCTTCTGACGCCCAGCACTGACCTTTCAGGACGAATCACCCAGAGGAAATGCCAATTTCCAATATTTACTGACACGGCAGCATTCTAATGTGCCACTGCCAGCAACCTGTTGGAGCGGGCCACAGGCACTGAGCAGAAATAGTGTTTTCTCATTTGTTTTTGATGAAATCGACACCGTTTCTAGACCAAGAGGGGTAATTATGAGGATTTTTGCTTAATGTCTTCATTGGAGCGCCATTTTCTTCTAAACTGATTAATAGAGTGGTAGAAAATGTAAAGCTAAGCCGAGCTATGGAAATATACAATATTTTTCACCCTATCCATGAAGCTTATTTTTATTTAAGCTGAGAAACAACAATTAAGAGGGAACACAGATGGCATCATTTCTAAAGGTATTGTATACTGATAA